GAAGCCATAGTAACACAACTGCCCTGGCCAACCTTGGAAGAGAGTGATTCAAAGTCGCGCGAGCGATAAGCGATAACAGCTGTGATCGGAAGAATAGTTGTTCCGTGATTGGGAACTGCGGCCCGCTGATTTGCTTCAACCTCGTCTCTCCTGTGCTATTGCGACGGCAACATCCAACTCCGCCTCCATTTACCCCGGCCGCTGTGGTGTTGAATTAACCAATCCACCCATCCGCCTTTCGATCCTTTTTCTCGGATCCCCCTCCGCACTCGAATTACAACCACAACCCCGCGCCCGACCGCGATCATGGTTCACAAAGTACTCTTCTGGAGCGGCTTCGGTACGTGACGGGTTCTCCCCTAAGCTCTCGATCTATTACAAGAACGTCCTGCATAGTGGCATGATTTTTTTATATTTATTTTAACGCCATTGGAACTAACCGCATTGATTTCAAAGGCATTGCTGTCCGCCTCTGGCAACTCGGTATCGAGATGCGTCCGATCCTCGCCAAGGAATCCCTCTGGGTCTACCCTCTTTTCGCTGGTGTTGGTGGAAGCTTTGGCTACTGGCTCCAGGGTGTTGAGAGCAGACAATTGAAGATGCTTGCACAGCGCCGCGAGGCTATTCTCGAGAAGCGTCGGCGGCGAGATGAGAAGCCCGAGGGTGGTGTCCTGGCTGCTGCGTCATAAAGCAAAGAGCTATTATGATTGAGATGGTCGTTGTGTGTATGCGTTTTTCTATTTGTACCAAAATTCAACCGGTTTGATATCAGCATTCGGGTCTTCACATTTAGTGGACAATTCTAAGGTTGCCATAGATGAGTTGGCATTTCTTATGTTTTTGTTCTGTTCCTCAACATTCTGGATAAGCATAGTCGCCAATTTGGCCCATCTCTTTTTTTAATTTCACGGGGTATAAATCCTGAAGTAGGACGTTTCCAGGGTTGATATCGACCCATCCATCGTCTGAGGCGTCATGAGTCAGCAAGGAGTGGGTGCCCGGCGGGCAGGCTCCCCGGGTCGAGTACATCATCAACTCCGCTCCGTAGACACCTACTTATACTGCGCTCGTCATTCATTAGTTTATTTCTGTTTGCTCCCTCTGTAACTTAGCCGAGCTCCCCGGTCCTTCTCGGGTCTTTTTGTTTCTCTTCATCGCGATGCTTATTGTCTGTCTTTGAGGAAGAGTCCGATGCCGAGACTGCGTGGCATAGATGGATAACCGCGGCTCCTTTTTCTTCTTCCTGTTGGTGTTTTACCTTCTCCTCAGTTCTCAGTCTCGACCGCCATTGATCGATGAAGATCGGGCACGGCAACGTGAGGTTGACCATGAGCGACAGGTCCTCCGGCTGTTAAATGGGTCAAAATACGGCGACTTCGATCCGCCCGCTAATCGATGGCTTCCTTTTTCGGGCCTGAGGGAGAATGACAGCTATGCTTGGGACCTGTTCCCGCAGGTCAAAAGCCTGGCTCGCCACCAGTGGCAATCAGCGATCTCAAATGCCGGATTAGAACCCCCGGATGGTCTAGAAGACCCCACCGTCTCGCCGACGTTGAACTTGACCAAGCTCCTGCTTCCAGTATATCGTAACTCAACTGGAAAACTTCGGGGGGACTGGGTCCGGACAACCGAAGGTGCCGATCGCCGTGAGCCTCTGAACACGACAGCCATCGCTGAAGAACACGAATACTTCACCCATGAATTCAGCCATAATATCACCGGAAATGGGGGTACCTTTTACTTCGATCTTGAAGAGGGAGGTGGCGAAGAGCTTCAGATGGGAGATGGACTTTTGAGAGAGATGCGCGCCAGTTTGACGGTCGAGAGCGAGGACTTCTGGGGAAGTACCTGGTACATCTCGTTGTTTGGTGTACACTTCCCAGACACTGGAAGTATCGTTTTGACTACTTCTAGTGAGAAATTTGGTGGTATCTTCTCGTTGCCGCATTTCATGCTATCTTCTGACTCTTACGAACTGTCCCATGAGCTACTTCTCAAGTCGCTGTCGGAAACCATCTCGGAGAAGCAAAATCGACCCCCAACACTGTTCCCTTGGTCCTCTTTGGCAGGAACAGAGCAGATGGAGTTCCCTGCGCCTAAATGTGAACATATCATCTACTTGCAACAACATCCAGTCATGATCGGAGATGCCGCTGCTGACCGATTGTTATTGGAGCGTATGGAGCAAGAGCTCAGATATCCGATGGGAGCGCCAATCCCAGATCCTCCTCTTATGGTCATGTCTGCCGTTGTCTTCTCCCCAGACTGCGGGTACATACTTCAAACGAAAGGAACCCCCGAGTTCCCTCCTTCTGATTCGCTATATGTTACTGGGCCCAAACATGAAGAGTACAGTAAATATGCAGCTCGTCTCATTTTCGTGGTTTCTGGCGTTTTTGTTGCACAAATCACTCTGCTTCTCCGACAGATCAAAGAGGCTTCCACTCCTTCTACCCGGAGTCGGATCAGCTTCTATACCATCGCGTTGATGGCGCTCGGCGATGCATTTGTTTTGACATTCATTGTTTTGGAACTATATGCGGCAGTATCTTTCTTGGTTCTGACCACTGCGTCATTTTTGGCGTTTCTGTCGGTGAGTTATATTGGAATGAAGTTCATGATGGAAATATGGGCAGTGCAAGAGCCAGAAAGAAGAGAGCAGGATCGTCCGCCCAATCCATCACCTCCAACTACTCGCCCCGAAATTTTGCCTTTGCCTGCCACTGCTCCGGCGGTGCAAGACTCGGGCGCCACCCCAATCATCTTGTCTCCCGACCAAGATCCCCCCGACGATGAGACGGATTCACCGCCGCCACCCACCCGAACCGCCCCTCCAACTCCAAGGCAAATCCGCAGTGACGTAGGAACAATGTACGCACGGTTCTATCTTGTGCTGTTTAGCATGCTCATCCTGTCAATCTGGGCTTTCCTGCTGCCGAGACGCCTCGGCTCGATCTACACCCGTTTCTTGGCAGCAGTCTATCTCTCCTTCTGGGTTCCACAGATCTACCGCAACGTGATGCGAAATTGCCGCAAGGCCCTTCGATGGGACTTTGTTGCCGGCCAAAGTGTTCTCCGGCTCTTCCCATTCCTGTACTTCCTCACAGCACGGGGAAACGTGTTGTTTATCCGTCCCGACTACACAAGCGCATTCATCATGACTGGATGGGTATGGATTCAAGCTTGGATCCTGGTCAGCCAGGACGTTCTCGGACCACGCTTCTTTGTGCCTCGTGGCTGGGCGCCGCATGCATACGATTACCATCCCATGCTACGCGATTTATCCGGGGCGGACGAGGATCTCGAAGCTGGTGGTGGCATTTTGTCGATTGCATCTCTACGGGGCGATGAGCGAGATCTAGTCAGTGACTCCAAGGATGATGATAAGCAGTGGAAAGACCGCAAGAAGGCCATATTCGACTGCGCTATCTGCATGCAGGATATCGAGGTGCCTGTCCTTCCTGCACCTTCTGCCTCCGGTGGAAGTAGCGTCGCCGATGGGGCCTCAAGCATCTTGAGTCGCCGGCTGTATATGGTCACCCCTTGTCGTCATATCTTCCACACTGCATGTTTGGAAAGCTGGATGAGACTTCGCCTCCAGTGTCCGATCTGTCGTGAATCCATACCTCCTGTATAGTTTCTGTTGTAATGTTTTTCATACATTATATCATCCACCTGTACACAGACCTGTTGCGTTCCATTGTTGAGACATGCGTGATCTAGCTTTGAATACACATCCACCTGGATATATGGACCATGATTTCTCTACAAGAAAATGAAATAACCATCCACTCACACATATAGAAATCTTGTTGAACAGTATATCGATCTGTTTACGGATCGACGAATCTAAACGCTTTCGTTGAAGGAAATCGGTCACCATTGGGCATACATGACAATATAACATCACACTTAAAGAAAAAGGCATTCACCACGCACAGGCAGGCATTTATAAACCACGAATCACGACCAGTCTTTACACTCCACGGATCTAAGCATCGATAGTCTCTTTGTAGGCAGCCTCGTCAAGCAAGGCATCGAGCTCAGCAGCATCAGCGACCTCAATCTCAGCGATCCAGCCCTCACCTTCGGGGCTTTCATTGATGGTCTTAGCCTTATCCTCGAGGATGCTGTTACCCTGGATGACCTTGCCAGCGACGGGGGAGAGGACATCGGAGGCAGACTTGACGGACTCGACAGCGCCGACGGGCTCGCCGGCGACGATCTCGAGGTCGACCTCGGGAAGCTCTACATAGACAACATCACCCAAGGAGTGGGCGGCGTATTCGGTGATACCGATCTTGGCTATAGAGGGTGTGTTAGTTACATCGCTGCTCCATATCCCGTATACTATGGAAGACCAAACACAACTGGCACGTCGGTTCAATAGGTCGAAGGCAGGTGTATGGGACCAATTGATCGGGGCAGTAGGTAACTAACCAGTCTTGCCGCCATCGGCCAGCTCAATCCATTCGTGCGACTCCGTGTACTTCTTCAGTTGGGCTACAATTGCGAATTGGTACGTCGTTAGTAAAATGTGACATCATTGAGCTCCAGAAAGCATGGTTGATGGATTGTGATGCTTCAATGCCGTCCAAGTGTCTTGTGTATCGCCCTGGACAGCATTTAACAGCACCCGGGAGTTCATGGTACTCACAGAGAGGGCTCTGGGAGAAGCTCCTGGTTCCCCGCGGGAAACGGAAAGCAGGCGCAACCTGGCAGGTGGAAGCAAGAGGCTTCTGGGTAAGGACCCGGGAAGTGAAGGGGCGGATGGCACGAGCGACGGAGGACATTTTGGGGTATAGAGTAAAGGAATTGAAAGCGTGGGAAACGAAATGAGAAGAGGGGAGAGTTTAAGTAGAAGGGAAAGACGGTTGATGCCCTTCTCCGGCGGAGTTTCGTTGACGGCATTTCCCCGATAACGAAATGCCAAGACTACGATAAGCAACGCGCTAACCTCGTCGGATTTTGCTGGCTTCAAATGATCGCTCCATTTCCGTCTCTAGTACACCCCACCCCTCGATGCCATGTTGTACGAGCTAATTGCCATTGTATGTTTTGATTTTATTGGAACTGTTATAATTACTTTAAATGAGATGATGGATTTGCTAACCACTTTGCAAACAGGTCCGCCCGGGCAGCCTCAACGAGGTGCGAGAGTACGTCTGAACCAACACCATCGCCGCAGTATCCATCATCCGAACCTATCGGATACTAACATACGTACTTGACTGCAGAATCGCCCGTAATGCCGGTACCCAAGTCATCCGCTCCGGCGGCGTCGTTCGCGGCTACACCAACTGGGGCGCCTTCCGTCTACCCAGAGTCACTACGAAACATCAGGCCCGATACACCGAAGGTCACCACTTCATCATGCGCTTCGACTCCTCCGGCTCTGTTCAGTCTTCTATCCGCCGCACTCTCGGTCTCGACCCGCGTATGATCAACTTCTCCGTGGTCAAGCTCGGCGACAAGCTTGAGGAGATCAAGGACATCGATGGCAAGGTCGAGTGGAACAACGTTTCCACCATCACCGAGCAGATCTAATTGACGCAATTTTTTTTTGACGAAAGTTTGATTGATTGTTGATATCAAATTTAGAAGCGTGGATCTGGATTTCAGCACTTTTCTTTTTGTTCTTTGTATTATTATGGCACGGGCATTGGGAACTGCCACTCGAACCTATCAGCACAATCGGCGCATATTGTACAAAATACCAGTTTGATCTACAAGTCTATTTGTGGCTGTTACTACATTTCGTGTTACCTCCACTCCTCAGTCCTCGATAAAAGATGGCAACGGTGAGCACGGCAAATAAACCATGCATCCAATAGAAAGGCTCAATATATCTCCCTTTATTATAATCTATAAGAGATCGACATGCCACGTCCTCTGAACCCTACCATTGTTCGATTTATGTAAACTTGGAGAGCGAAGTGATCCAGCCGAAATGCATATCCTTCACTCCGATCAATCCTGGCCGCTGAATTTGGATAAAACATCCTATAGATACATAGACAACCGATTCATATAGAAGCTATACAATTATTTTGTTCAAAACTTCTACATTTAGAACATTCACCTCTATGTCGTATGGTAGTGTGAGTCAAATTCACAAGCCGAGGTACCGGCTAGTCCCGTCTCTTTAGTCCGGGGTACGTGCCAATCCCCATACAACCATTATCAACCCTGTCACCTCAACCTAGGTACTCCCCACGGTACAATCCTACAGGGTTTCTATTATATAACAGAAGACTGTACAAATACTGGTACATTAAGCCCACTCTCACCCACCACAATCGCGGGGAGGATCACCATTGGAGCCGGTATTGTTGATCGGACAGGTACCATCGGCCCGCAAAACAATCCTCGTTATCGACACAAGTAACTGACTACTTTGCGCAGCTTGTACTCTCGGAGAAGGGTTCAAATCAAAACGCCTCTCTCCTCTTTTACGCCATGTCTCCGCAAGGCGGGGCCCCAGATAATGACGGCGAGCTGAAGTCCCCGCACTCTTTTATTGAGTTAATGTCGCTACAGCGACTCGAAGATACCTTTCTCTCGTATCCCGATTCCACTGAACCAGAAAAGATTGAGCGATTCCGCTCGCTAGCAATACCTTACAATCCTGGGCAGGGAACGCGCTCCTTCGGCGGACATGTCTACGCCCAATCAGCATATGCAGCGTCCAAGACCGTCGGTCAGGGGTTCGTGATTCACGTAAGATTTTATGCATCAATTTTCCCGGAGACACTCAAACTGACGTACCGGCAGAACATGACGGGCACATTCATCCTAGGAGGACGACTTGACACGCCCTACGTGTACACAGTGCGACATATCCGCGATGGATTCATGTACAGCACTCGAGCCGTCGACGCACGGCAAGCAGGAAGAATCTGCTTCTCGTGCATATGCTCCTTCAAACGCGATGAGAAGCAGCGTCTCTTCCAGCACCAGCCGACATCAGCACAAACGCGCTTCGACTCAATCCTCTCGGCAAAACGACCAGAAGACCAGTCTCCCAGTCCCAGCGTGGATGCAGAATGGTGGATCGAGGCGGTGCGGCAGGGAAACATCTCCGAGCACGAGTTTCCCGGTCTGGACGTGCGCAAGACCGATATGAAGGATTATAACCGCACCGAGGATGTCAAGCAACATCCTGAGCGATATCGCCAGCTAACGCAGTATCGGCTCAAAGGATCACCGGACGAGGATCCTGCTGCAACTTTGGCACAGGTTCGAGAGAGGGAAGAGAACGGGGAATATGATAATTTATATGTGTGTGCACATATGTATTCCAGTGATAAGAACTCGCTTCTTTTGATTCCGCGCGCATTGGGGATCAAGAACTGGACTGAGATGGCGAGCCTTACGCTTACAGTCATTGTTCATCAGCATGGGGAAGCTCTACGGATGGTTGATTGGGAAAGTATTGGCGATAGCGATATTGGCGGCGTGAGTGAGTTGCCTATGAAGTGGTTCGTGCAGGAGGGGTGGACACCTCGGGCTACAGAGAATAGGGGAACACATGAGAGTCATATTTGGAGCCCTGGCGGGACGTTGCTGGCGACTTCTTTGCAGGATAGTATGTTGCGCTTGAGGAAGTTGGGGGTTGCAAATTTGTGATTTATAAGGGTCCCTCGTATATGTATGGCTTAAATTAGATGGTTATACAGATGGGGGCCATGACAGCAAGATTAATTTCCGGGAATACTCCAGCGATACTTATACATCTTCGTCGGTTATGTTCAGAAACTGAAATCGCAGTGGCGGGAATAGCTGTAACATCGATGCAGCCTACTAAATGTGTTGAGCATCAAGTCCATCCATGGTGTCAAGACACAGTCAGCCTACCACCAAACACTACGAAATCATTTCATTGAAAGATATGGCATGGAACGCTCACAAGAAGAACGGTAAATAACGGTATTAGAATAAGGTATACGCTAGAGCAAAGAAAAGAAAATCAAGTATCCTCCCCGGATATATTAGCATGCTTGAAGTACTTCATGCCCACCCATGCGACAACAACCCAAACCCAAGACATGACAGCTGTAAGAATAATAAGTGCGGGATAATATCCGACAATCGGCAAGGTAGGATCATCCTCCAACTCAGGCGGCGCATAGGGCGTCTCCCCAACATCCCAAGCCCAGCTCCAAACCTCAAAGCAGCTCCCAATTCCCACAACAAAGACCAACCACGTTACAATCAGTATAATCCAGCCCCACCATTCGGTCTCAGAGTAGTCTATGTCCACATCGGGGCTGCTCTTTATCTCAACCGGGTGTGTGACCAGGGGCGAGGACTTGTGTCGGTGGACGGGTAGGTATGCCGGTTCGGGCTGAGGTTGGAGTGAATAGAAAGAACCTGAGCTGGAGGATGGTGGAGAGATATGTAAACCGGCAGAGCTGATTTTGGGGCTTGTGCCCGTGCCGGCCGCCGTGGGAGTTGAATTCGAGTGGAGGGGAGGGAAGGAGACGAGATCCTCGTCGTCGGTGGCTTGTTCCTGGAGATTATTCTGTGCGAGGCCCTGGCGTCGGCGACTTATTGAGGGTCGGATGTGTATCTGGGCGTTTGACGTGCGAAACCAAGTCGGCTGTTGGGTATCGTCGCGGCCGTCGTCAAGGGCCACACTCTCGCGCGGCGAGCATTGCGTAGTTCCATTATCAGAGGAGGTTTGATCTTTTGGTTGTATAGTCGCTTGTAGGTCGGCAGTGGGGAGTCTGTTGGGTTCTGCGCGGAGGGCTTCGAGGGCTTCGGCGGCTTTTGCGGTGGCTCTTTTGTCGCGCGATTCGAGCCTGGTGCCTAGCAATGCCGTTTTTCGGAGGGAGCCACGCCGGCGGCGCGTTCGATTTTGCGCGAGAGCGGCAGACATTGCCCGGCTGCTGGTAGTTCCTCCCTTACCTGTGTTCTGCGGCATGCCGGAGTGGAGGTCTTCGTCGCCATCGTGGTCCATGTCTAGGTGGTGTCGGTCCAGGGAGGTGTGTACTGCCTGGCTCATGCGAAGGAAGGAAAGTCTGGAGAGGAGGGAGCCAGAAACGCTTCTTGTGTGGCCGCTACTTGCGCTGCCTGATCGCGTGCGAGGAGACAGTTCGTGATCCACCAAGTCCGCCGTCATCGTCCATTGGTGCAAGTGGGACCGGGAGCTGGTTAGCTCGGTCAACCTTCTTGCGTTGGTGAAAATCGGGGCCTGTTTTAGTTTCTTTGTTTCTTCGTTTGATGTTTGAGGTTTTGTTTTTGTTTTTGTTTTTGCAAAGAGATATATTATAAAGGAGTGTCGTGGCCTGCAATATTGGGGACTAACAATGCAGTTCACTGGCCAAGCCTTTATCACGTGTCTGGAACGTGACTGATCTGAAAATCAAATTCAGAACGGCGCAAACTGAGCCTCCCAGACCCATTTTGCAAACTCCTCGATTCCTTCCTTTCCTATAGTCAAATCACCTTCTCTAGGGGATTTTGGAGGTCGTAGGAACAGGAGATCAAAAGGGATAGTCAGTGGAGCCCCAGAGACTCTAACTTCATCGCCTATATGGCTTTCCCGTATCTCGATACTCTGGAATATTTGGGCTTATCCATTGGCGTGGTCCTACAAGTACTTATCTATGGTGATAAGTAGTCGGGTTCTGTTTATCTTGATAGCGATGGCGACATTGGTGTTACCCCTACTGGGATCAAGCCATAGATCAATGTCTCGCTGCAACCTTGTTCTGGTTTCCGAGATAGCGATTTCCGCAACCACCATAGGCCGCTTTCTGGTGCCAGGAGGGGGGCGCCTAGGGCCCAATGCCCAGTCTGGCTGTTTTGACATGCCATTGACATTGATGTTCACTTCACCATAGGAAAAAGTTTCCCAGTCAAGCCCCATTGGTGCAAGCACACTATCAATGACTTTATCAAAAGCCTTACCACTTAGTGATGTTCAGGGGTGATCATTTTGACGATCAAAGTGTTTGTTTAGAGGTTGAAAGTACAACGGATGCCACGGATGGTCGCGTTAGGATTAACAAAATCTTTTTAGAAGGTGCTATCGTCGATAAAAAAGACAAGGTACTCACTAAGGTCCACTGAAAGGCGGAGACGTTCACGCTCAACGCTAATGATTTAGGAAAATTGTTCATTCCCTTATATACATACCGTCTAACAGATTGAGATCGGCCCTCTAGGTCGTCACATCCATCTCGATTGAATAAGGACATTTTTGACTACCTATGTTTATCAATACTTAGAAGCCAAGGGATATAAGGATTACCATAGAAGATCAAGCCATAAAAAGGTGTTTTTCCCAAGTTCTAGCGTCATTAGAATGGTGAGAGGACCGCCAGAGTCCAGATCTTAACTTAATAAGCCCTAGGGGTGAGATACCAGCAATGGCGTCACGCGCTCAAATAACCTTGAATTATGTCTCTAATACATATGAAATACTATTAGCTGCAATTATGGCGTCTAATAAAAAGGGTTGTATATTCATGGGTGTATATCTATAATAATCTTACTATATCAATTTGAGATGCACTTTCCCTAGTAATACTTCACGCCTTATGCCTTCAGCTTTTCCTATATAGAAAGGGACAGGCTTGATCAAAACTACCGAGGTGTAAGACTTTAATTATCTGATTCATTTGGCTGGAGATGATGGTAGAGACTGTATCTTCGATACCTTCTATGATCTCCTTTTTCCTATTTTCCTGTGTTAAAACCGCAAGAGTAAATCAGAATATCCCCCATATAGTCAACCAACTAGTCAGTTATAGCTGTGTGATTATTAAATGACCCCAGCCCTGGCTTCCAAGCTGAGTATAAAAATACAGAGAAATAGAAAATGTGAGAACATGTATATTGTGTATTCCATCTTAAAATATGCCGCATGTCTCATCGTCACACTGCATACATATGCAGCGAGAAAGGGGCTGCAGTTTACCAATCAACTAACGCGACAATGAATAATGATTGACTAAAATGTCCCGCGGAGCATAACACAACATGCTCAGTTTCACCTTCCAGCCTATGGGCAGAGAATATCATGCAATCCACCGTATGCTCTATACATAATACATAGTATATATAAAAAAAAAATAAACAAAGAAAGTGTCATCGGCAATGATTTTAAAGAAATGGAATGCCAGAATGAAGCAAGAAAAAAAAAGGCAAATTGGTATCTGGGTTGAAACGCCAGCAAGGCAGAGATACTTAGAAATAAGATCAATGATATCGCGTGCTCCAAGGAAATTCATCACAGCATATACGGATACTCGTGGGAAAGTGCCCAGACCAATGTGTCAACCGAGAAATCCATGGCAACCCATGAAAAGCATCTTTTGAGTGAAAATGAGTATCAAACAAGGAAAGCAAATCTGATACCACACATGTACTCGAATGATAAAACAGCTAGAGAAATGAAATAAACAAAATGGCAACAGTCCAAATACGCGGGTGAAGAGTAGGGAGGTCGCTTTTATTTGGGGGCATGACAGAGCCAAAAGTCCAAGGAACCCTTGATAGCAAGGCACGCTTAAAGAAAAAAGAAGGGGGCAAAAAGAAGGAAAAAGAAGCAAAAAAAAAAAACCGAAGCAACGTAGTGGACTTGGGGTATGGGGTGCGCAACACACAAATTCCGTTTCAGACAAAAGCAACTTGCTCGCTTGAAAATCCACTCAATTTAAGTAAAAGAAAGAAAATATCAACGGTGATGGGGAATTGTAGAAGGGTGCTATGGAAAGAAACACAGAAGGGACGTTAAATAAACTTAGTTCTGTGAGCAAATGCCGGAAGTGTCGTATGTGAGCAGACCGACTGGAGACTTGTCACAAACCGAGCTACGCCTGGTAGCCTCCGTTGAAGTTGTTGGGCTGGTCCCAGTTGCCAGACGGGGACATGGGCTGGCCACGGCCGTAACCCCCGGCATTACCTGCCTGGGCGTAGCCCTGGCCAGCCATAGCAGGCCCATTGAAGTTGTTGGGTTGTTGATCCCAGCCTCGACCAGCAGGGGCAGGACCTATTTTACCAGTAAGCGAGGGTTAAGAGATAACAGATGAATACTGGGCTCACCTTGATTCATGGGGTTTGCGGGACCGCCGTATTGGGGGAAGAAACCGGCAGGGCTGTTGTTGAAGGGGGCAGCGTTGCCCTGTTGAGGAGAGAAGTTGTCGAACTGGCCAGTGGGAGGGCGATCCTTACCCCACTGCGGTAGTCAGTAAATATAAGCTGGGAATCCCAAAACTAGCAATAACTTACACTACACTTCAGAGGACGACCGTTGACGTTGTAGCCGTTCAGTTGGCAGATCGCAGAGGCCGCATTTTCATGCGAATCCATCTTCACGAATGCAAAGCCACGATCAGCCTGGAGGCGAGTTTCAAGGACATAGCCAAAGTTCTGGAACAGGGGGACCAAGTCATTCTGGGTGGTATAAGGGGTGAGGTTTCCCACGTAGCAAGTAGTCTGCCACTGGGGGGTCTGCTGAGCAACCATATCGTAGCTCTGAATGCCGTGGGTTGGGAAGTGGTGGTGTCCGAAAGGAGTAGTAGGCGTCATACCCATAGCAACCAGAGCTTGCTGCTGGGAGATTGAAGGCTGGCCCTTCTGGTTGGCCCAGTTGCATCGGATAGCACGAGAGCCGAGCCATTCACCGTCCATCGAGTTGAGGGCCTTATCTGCCTCTGTGCGATCGCGGAAAGCAACGAAGCCGTATCCACGGGAGCGACCAGTCTTCATATCCCACATCACACGTGCTTCAGATACTGATCCGAAAGCAGAGAATGCTTGAGTCAGCACCTCGTCGTTGACTTCATTGCTCAAGTCGCCAACGAAGATATGGAAGTGGTTAGAAGTATCCTCCTTGGTAGTGCTGTTGGACTGGTACGCCCAGTTGACACGGATTTCCTGGGGCAATTAGAAACAGTTGCGAAGTACCACGAACAAAAGGAAACCTACAGACTGGTGGATTCGGCGACCATTCAGGGTTTGCATAGCCCTCTCGGCCGCACCTGGGTCATCGAACTCAACGAAACCGTAGTTGTGCCCCTTGGTGGTGAATTGCCCCTGGAGTAAGTAAAACAGTCAGCCGCCAATATTTAATCAAGGATAAAAACAAGGGGTAGTGATTAACACGGATGACGGCTCCAGAGACCATCACTAGCAACTCAGGGGGTGGGGAGGGGATATGTAGGGGGTGCCTGTCAGAAGAACTCACATTCTTGTCGGGAATGATCTTCACGCTGACCACGTGGCCAGTGGTCTCAAAGATCTGCTTGAGGATGTCCTCAGTGACCCTCGGATCCAGCCCACCCACATACAGGGCTCTCTTGTTTGGTTCAGGAGCCGCTCGGCGGACATATCCACCAGCGCTTGTGGGGGACATCATAGCGACTCCGGACATGGGCGAGGTCATGGCGGTAGGAATCGGATTGGTATTCTGGGGAATTATCACCGGAGGGCGCGGGGGCGGGGGCATGTGGGACTGGTTGCCCTGGCCGTTGCCCTGAGGAGCATCGTACTGTTGGGGTTGACCGACAGCGGGCTGAGGCGCGGGGGGGAAGAGAAGAGGGAGTCGAGGCTTGAGCGTTTTCAGCCATTATGATTGCTTTTGAAAAGATACGGATATATTCCAAAGGCGATCAGAGGAAGCGAGTGATGCGGAGGTTGGACGGGGTTAAATGTCAGATTGGGAGAGCCCAGTGTTAGGTGATCTGTCAAATTCAGAATTTGAGACAATGCAAAGCGTCGCTGAATGCCACAATCGCAAATAAGACTGGGAAAATATATGTGGTATAGGAGGCCGCGGGGGACCAGGGTGGAGGAAGTCCAATAAGAAAGACCCTAAGATGGGGAAACAAAGAGCACCGGGTATAAACAGTGCTGATAAAAGAGACACCGAAGTGGAACCTAGGTGGGTGGTTTGTTTTTTTTGGGGGGTTTGGACTTTTTTTTTTCGATCAAGCTCCGGTAGAATAAAGGAGATGTTTTTGTGGCCTGACAAAGCTGCGGTCGGAGAGTGAAATACAAAGCGCGTTGGGGGAGGTAGAAAGCCCAACAAAAAGAAGCTGAGAAAGCTCAAAGAAAAACCAAAGCATACAAGTCCCTTTGGGGAGGAAAAGCCAAACAGGAAAGAAAAGAGAAAAGGAAAAAGGGAAGAAAGAGAAGAAGTGATAGAGAAAAAAAAGAAACTGGAGAACAGCAAAGTAAAGGGAGGAAGAGTTAACCGCTAGGGGTGGGGGGAGGACACTTTACCATAATGGGTTTAGTCCGCCTTCTCGTACATCCCAAATTCTTTAACTCTTCTCTCTCTCTCCTACAACTTACTTGTATCTTCGACTTGATTCAATCTGATTAAACTGATTTTCAAACTATCTCATATCTTACTCTTGCCAATCATGGCCAGCTATTCAACTAGTTATTCAAACCCGGACTCGCTCACAGAGCTCTCGAGCATAATAGAGCGGACGGTAAGCGCTGGCTGAACAACACTCTTGGCATAACCTCTGACAGCTTCAAGCTTATTGATACTGGTCGTTTGTTCCGCAAATCTGGCTCCATGTCATCGAGATCTCACCTGCAACGATCCATCCCCTTGTATCATGATAGTTTCCAAAATGCCCTGGATAATCTATCAGAGCAAATTGTGAGTACTACTCAAATAGATCAAATAGCTATATATTTGCTTTTTCCCCATCTTTTTTTTCGGGGGGGGTTTTTTTTTCTGACGTTCCGCAGTTCATCGCGAAAGCCTTTTTGGAAAGGGATTACGAGGCTCTCAAGGCCACTAGTACTGCTCCCCAGCCCATCGAAGATGTGGCAATGAGTGATGTGAACCAACAGGTTGAACCTGACATTCAACCTCCGCCGATTGGGAAGGTCAAAATGGACCCA